AAGCGAAACATTTACTGTCTTTATGAGTGAGTTGTTCATTCATTAATTCAACAGTTCATTCAGAAACGATGTTTCATTTAGGAACAAATCAAGTCTCTATGAGTGAGTCATTTGAATCATTCATTCAACTAATTTGTTCAAATACATTGATGGATTGAGGAATGAATCAAGTGACTGTCTTTATGAGTGAATCTTCGGTTCATTAATTTAACCGATTCGTCCAAGCACACTGATTTACTCATAAATTAGAAGTCATTGATTTGTTCATTCAACCATTTTGTTCAAAAACACTGATTTGTTCATGAGTGAGTCATTTGAATCATTCATACAACCGATTCCTTCAAAAATGCTTTATGAGAGAGTCATTGAATAATTAATTCAGTCGATTCATTCAAAAACACTGAAGCATAACATTTACTGTCTTTATGAGTGAGTTTGTCGTTCATTCATTAATTCAACAGTTCATTCAGAAATGCTGTTTCATTTAGGAACAAATCAAGTCTCTATGAGTGAGTCATTTGAATCATTCATTCAACTAATTTGTTCAAATACACTGATGAATTGAAGAATGATGAGTCTTTATGAGTGAGTCTTCGGTTCATTAATTTAACTGATTCGTCCAAGCACACTGATTTGTTCAGGAACTAGTCTTTATGAGTGAGTCATTTGAATCATTCATGCAACCGATTCCTTCAAAAATGCTTTATGAGAGAGTCATTGAATAATTAATTCAGTCGATTCATCCAAAAACACTAAAACAAAACAATTCACTGTATTAATGAGTGAGTCGTTGAATCATTAGCAGTATTAGAAACCAGCAGCTGAAATATACTTTCAACAAAATCCCTGATCATTTCAGTCTGATCTGAACAGTTTGAGCGGCACATTTCAGCGATGAATCTGTTATAGTGTGGAGGCTGTTATTGAAGGATGAGCCGTTCAAAACTATATTAGACCTGACAGAAAACCCAAACCCCATTTTTAAATGGAAAACAGTTAAACGAGGATGATACGACCCGTCGTGTGTGTGTTTGTTTGGTCCAGCGCTGTCGTATGTGATTGATGGCTGGGCGTTTCTGGGATGCTTCTATTGTGAGTCTTAATTACTGGCTTGAGTTCTCAGCGCTGGAGAAGCAGTGATTTCAGATGAATGCTGTTATCGCTCCGGAGAGAGAGCGAGCTTCTCCCTATAGATCAGCCGTCTCGCCTCCTCAGTGTGGTTTGTGAGCAGATTGTAAATGAAGTCTAAACAGAGGAAAGTTTCACGCTTCTCTTCACAATCCCACTGAAGAGACGATGACGAGTGAATTTAAAGCGCTTCATCCGTGGATGTGTCTCAGTTTGACCCACATATGAAGACTAATGGTGTGTTTTAATGGGTTTTCGGTCACCTTTGACCTCATATTGCTGAAGGAGAGGGTTAATTTGCTTATTTTTTATATGTTGCCCGTGCTGAATTTACGGTGCTCATAAAGATCTTAATATAGCTGTGTTTAATAGGATCAGGACAGGTCTGTGATGTCAGCGAGCACTGAGGATTCTGGGTACATACGGGCCTTGAGACGCAAACAGAAGAGATAACGAGATTAAAGAGGAATAATGTGCAGCGTATGGATTCACAGCCGACACAAAAACTCACAAGCACAGTGGAGATATTGTGCTTCATTATGGTTGTAATAATAAAAAAATATATTAAAAAAATTATATATATATATATATATATATATATAAATAATTAAATAGTCCAAGCACACTGATTTGTTCAGGAACTAGTCTTTATGAGTGAGTCATTTGAATCATTCATGCAACCGATTCCTTCAAAAATGCTTTATGAGAGAGTCATTGAATAATTAATTGAGTCGATTCATCCAAAAACACTAAAACAAAACAATTCACTGTATTAATGAGTGAGTCGTTGAATCATTAGCAGTGTTAGAAACCAGCAGCTGAAATATACTTTCAACAAAATCCCTGATCATTTCAGTCTGATCTGAACAGTTTGAGCGGCACATTTCAGCGATGAATCTGTTATAGTGTGGAGGCTGTTATTGAAGGATGAGCCGTTCAAAACTATATTAGACCTGACAGAAAACCCAAACCCCATTTTTAAATGGAAAACAGTTAAACGAGGATGATACGACCCGTCGTGTGTGTGTTTGTTTGGTCCAGCGCTGTCGTATGTGATTGATGGCTGGGCGTTTCTGGGATGCTTCTATTGTGAGTCTTAATTACTGGCTTGAGTTCTCAGCGCTGGAGAAGCAGTGATTTCAGATGAATGCTGTTATCGCTCCGGAGAGAGAGCGAGCTTCTCCCTATAGATCAGCCGTCTCGCCTCCTCAGTGTGGTTTGTGAGCAGATTGTAAATGAAGTCTAAACAGAGGAAAGTTTCACGCTTCTCTTCACAATCCCACTGAAGAGACGATGACGAGTGAATTTAAAGCGCTTCATCCGTGGATGTGTCTCAGTTTGACCCACATATGAAGACTAATGGTGTGTTTTAATGGGTTTTCGGTCACCTTTGACCTCATATTGCTGAAGGAGAGGGTTAATTTGCTTATTTTTTATATGTTGCCCGTGCTGAATTTACGGTGCTCATAAAGATCTTAATATAGCTGTGTTTAATAGGATCAGGACAGGTCTGTGATGTCAGCGAGCACTGAGGATTCTGGGTACATACGGGCCTTGAGACGCAAACAGAAGAGATAACGAGATTAAAGAGGAATAATGTGCAGCGTATGGATTCACAGCCGACACAAAAACTCACAAGCACAGTGGAGATATTGTGCTTCATTATGGTTGTAATAATAAAAAAATATATTAAAAAAATTATATATATATATATATATATATATATAAATAATTAAATA